TCTCAAACATTAAAGGCAAGGTGGTCCCCTGCTCCGTTAGCTCTGCTTCTTAACTTGGAGTTGAACTTGTGCTGTGTGGTTAAACACATGTTTGTGCATGCTGCGCTGCCAGTAACTGTCCCAAGTATACCAGTAAAAAGGAATGGCATGGCATGCAACCCCTGCCCTCACAGAGACGAGGGAGCAGGCAGGGTGCCCTCATCCTGCAGGGCTCAATGTTGTGTTAAGGGTATTTTGGGCATCTGGAGCGGGGACTGCTTGGCCTGAGGAGCTTGAGGAACGCTGGTGGTTTAGCAAATGTGAAAGGGAGGCAAGGAGGTTGCGGGCACATCCCCGTGGGGGGTGTGCAAAAAGGCAGCTGATCGATGACTCTCTCTCATCGATGTTTCTAACTTTCCCTCTCTTCCTCTCTGTAAAAACTCAATAAAATATATTAAAAAGAAGAAGAAGAAGAAAGAAAGAAAGAAAGGGAGACAAGGAGCCTACGCTGGGTTGGCTCTAACTTAGCAGGGCTTGCAGGGCCGAGCAAGGGAGCAGTGGAATTTGTCTGAGTTGAGCTCACACATTGAAGTTATTGAGTGACTTACACGCAAGGCCATGACCTAGACTCCCAACTGAGAAGCCCACGTGGCAGGGCTTTAGCTGGGGGAGCCGAGGACAGGCTCACATCTGCTCATCTGCTTACGTAACCCTGCTTCCCGGCTCCCAGAGCCAAGAAAACACACAAGCCAGCCCAGCGGGGCCGAGGGCCTGTGGTAGCACATGCCGTGCGCCTCACAGCAAGGGAGCCGTGGCTTAGCATGAGCACTGTCACGAAGCTTTCAGCCCCTGGTTTCTTCCCCTCGCCTCTCCCTGAGGCCTCCAGCCGTGGCTCCGAGACCTGGCCCCAGGTCCGCAAGGTTCTGGGCAGAGCTGGTCACTGCCCTCCTGGAGTCTGAGCTCTGTGAATTTCCTCACCGGGACAGAACCCAGGGGTGCAGCAGAGGACTGCTCCTGTGGGTGGCAGGAAATGTGCCGGACACTCCCGGGGGCCTCCTGGCTGGTACTGGACCCAAGGTCTGGGGCTGCCACTGACGGCCAAGTGCTGTCCACTCTCAGGTGAGATCTGCAGGGTTCTCAGAGCTGTGGAGGCTTCACAGAGAGAAGGTGGGGAAAGAATTGCCAGATTGGGCAGGGAAGGCAGGGTCTGGGCGTTAGTGTGCCTTCCATGTGGTGGAGACATGCTGGGGGTTGTGAGAAGGGTGAAAAGCGGAGTGGGAGAGTGAGAAGAGGCGGTTCAGTGTTAAAGCTCTACATGAGCCCTTGGAGGAGCCAATGGGGGTGGAGGTCTTCTGGATCAGGCTGAGTTGTGGTCCTTGCAATTTACGAAGGGGAAACCAGTATCCTGAGTGCAGATGCTGCTTGCCCAAAGATAAATTATCCAGCAAGTCACCGATGGAGCTAAACCAGGGCCCAGGCATCCTCTCGCCTCTCCAGGAAACCTCAGGACCCCCTTTCTGGAACTCCTGAAGGGGCAAAACTAAGACCAGCCTGCAGGTGCCTGCTTCAGGAGGCTGGGCAGGCCCAGTGTGGATTCTTGTCTTCTGGGCTGGTTTCCTAAAGTATGCGCAAGTTGGTAGGGTGACAGTCCAGGTGCCTCTGGGGTTCCTGGAAAGGGGGTTATGTTTAGAAGCATCTTGAGAAGCGAAGGTATGGCAGGGCTGGGGCGTTGCAGATGTTGCGGGGCCCTCTGAAGTGAGAAGAGCCCAGTGACAGATCTTTTTCGTGTTTTTCACAAGGGCGGTGTGCAGCAGGGCCTCCCAGAAGACTTTGCTCGGGGCCGGGCAGCGAGGCCTGCTGGACCCCGTTGGGAAGGGCTGCCTCTGTGACCTGTGAGTTGTAGGAAACCCTGAGGACCCTCCTTACCTTGCAAGCCCAAGACTTGTGAAGGTGGGAAGTTCTCTCTCCATTGCCCAACTTGCCCAGACAGAGTCACCTAAGCTCTGCCCTAGCTGGTTTGGCTCAGTGGATAGAGCGTTGGCCTGCAGACGGGTCCCATTTCTGGTTAGGGACATGTACCTGGGTTGTGGGAGGCAACCAGTCGATGTGTCTCTGTCACATCGGTCAGTGTCTGTCTGTCTGTCTGTCTCTCTCCCTCCCTCCCCTCCCCCTTCCATTCTCTCTAAAAAGCAATGGAAAAGTATCCTCGGGTGAGGATTAGCAACAACAAAAACAGGACAGAATCGCCTAGGCTCCTTGTTAATTATCCACCCCGGTCCTTCCCAAGGACCACCCAGTTCAGGCTCTCCAAGGGAAGGGCCTGAGAGTCCATATTTTTTACAGATTGCCTCAGGTGATTCTGATGATAGGTTTGGGAAAAACTGGTCCAGGCATCCCCTTACTTAGTCCTAGAGCCGTGGTCGGCAAACTCATTAGTCACCATAGCCAAATATCAGCAGTACAATGATTGAAATTTCTTTTTGAGAGCCACATTTAAAAAATATATATTTTATTAATTTTTTTACAGAGAGGAAGAGAGAGGTATAGAGAGTTAGGAACATCGATGAGAGAGAAACATCCATCAGCTGCCTCCTGCACATCCCTACTGGGGATGTGCCCGCAACCAAGGTACATGCCCTTGACTGGAACCGAACCTGGGACCTTTCAGTCCACAGGCTGACGCTCTATCCACTGAGCCAAACCGGTTTCGGCTAGAGAGCCACATTTTTTAAACTTAAATTTCTTCTAACACCACTTCTTCAAAATAGACTTGCCCAGGCCGTGGTATTTTGTGGAAGAGCCACACTCAAGGAACCAAAGAGCCGCATGTGGCTCATGCAATTTGCCGTCCATGGTTCTAGGTATAAAGCCAATACTCACCTGAGGGCACCCTAGGTTATGGAAGCTGGTCAGCCAGCAGCCCAGGGAGGGGCAGATCTGTGAGGCCCCTGCCCCTCCAGAGAGGGAGGTGCGCGGCTCAGGAGGCAACAGGGCTTTGGCACCCAGGGGGTCCCCTTCCTTACCCCAGGGGATCTGCTGTCTGAGCTCTGGTAATGAGGAAAGGAAAAGGACCAGGCAAGACCGAGACTCCGTTCTTAAGATTCTGGCCTGCCTCTCCATGCCACGTGTGCCATCAGAGGAAAAAGGGAAGGGCATTTCTGGCAAAGAGGAAAGTGCAGTCATAGGCCTGGTTTATAAGAATGGGGAGGGAGGCAGAGCTGAGACCGAAGGGCCTTATTGCCAAGCTAAGAGGTTTGACCTTGCCTTGTCTGAGGCGACACGGCCTTCGAGCCAGGGGAGGTTTTCAGTGGGAAGGTAACCATCAGAGCCGTGTCTCAGGAAAATGAATGGGAACAGGTCCCAGGTCCGGTGGTGTTGGAGCGGGGTCAGCACTGGAGGGAGGGAACGGGAGTGCAGGGGAGGGGAGAGGGAGAGGAGATGGCGAGTTCGCACCTGTGGACAGGCAGGAGGAGCAAGAGTCACAGCTGCCTCCCCCCCCCCCCACCCCGGCTGTCTCATTTCGAGAGGGTGAGTGATCTCTGGGGACAGGGTGCGCCGAGAGCCACATGCTATTGACAAACAAGGTGACAGAGTGTGCTCACTGCTTCTCACTGGCGTGTTTCAGGTGAACTGGCTCTGAGTTTGTGGTCAGCGTTCTCGCCTCTGTTCCTTTGTGCTTCTGAGTAGCTTGCTTCACAGGGGAAGCTGGTTCCACTGGAGCAGGGGTCAGCAAACCCCAGCTCGTGAGCCGCGGTTTGCCGCTCTGTTGACTAATGAGTTTGCCAACCACTGCTCTAGCGTGTCCGTTCTCAAACTGTGTCCCCTGATAAGATGATTCTGTGGTCCAGTGAACTGGGGAGATGGTGAGTTGAATAAAGTGAAGCAGGTTTTATGATTGCTCAGCTTCTCAGAGCCTTTGGTGTACGTCCTGACTTCCCAGAAGCAGGAGTTAGTAGGCAGGATGAGTGTTTCTTGGAACCCTCTTTGAGAAAGCTTGTCCTACAGAGAATACTGGGGGCCTGGGTTCAAGTCAGGACTCAGTCCCCAATTCTCTGTGTGTCCCTGGGCCAGTCGCCTTTCTCCTGTCCTCACCATCTGTGCTGCAGCCCTCTGGTAGCGCCAACTGTTTCTGTTTAGGAGACAAGAACTTCCGTGTCTGTATCTGGGTCTCGGTTTTGGCCTTTCCCTCTGCTCCTAACTTGCCACTAAAAACCCACCATCCATCCATATCTCATCCGTTTTTCATCTAAGCCAAAGCGCTCTCCTACTATTATAATTTCTCTCATCTGGAGCCACGTTCTTCTAGGCCAGAACCTTTGTGGTCGTCCCTGACCGGATTCCCTCCCTTCTTCACCCACCTCTTACCTCTCCTAAGCGTTCTTCTTTGATGTTCTTTCCAACCGCTTCCTTCTCCCCTTGTCCCCTCAGCCTCCTCTGGGGTCTCATTTCCTCCAGGCCTTCCCGTTTCATCTGTGCATCAACCCATGAGACATGGGCTACGCATGCCACTCCCTGCTACCTTCTGCTTTCCTCAACACTGACCTCTCCAACACACACACACACACACACACACGTTTCCTCAGCTAGGCTAAGTTCAGAGAGAACCTGTCCAAAGCCACACTAACGGGGAGGTGGCAGGGCTATGTCTCAGCCTCAGGATTTCTGAGAAAGTGCTTCTTCCTCCATGCTTTCTGATCCTTGCAGCCACCTGCCAGGAAGTCAGAGCAGAAATGGCCCCATTTCCACGTCACAGTTGGGAAACACGGAGCCCGAAGGGGGTGTGGCCTGCATAGGCGAGTGCTCCGCAGGGAGACCCGCCATCCAGGTTTGCCCTGCCCAACGGGTTTCCTGGGATGGTTGGTCACCCTTGTGCCGGACATGGTCCCTAGCGCTGGGCACGAAGGCCTTTTCCATGGCCGCGCTGCCTCTCTGGAAGAGCTGTGTCCTGCAGCCTGGCCGCCTGCCCCGCCCCCCCCCCCCCCCCCACAGCCTGCTAACCTCTCCTTCCTCCGCCCCTGCAGTCGGCCCCATGCAGATCGAGTTCAGCATACCTGTGGACTTGGCGCTTGTGGCAAAACAGAACCCCGAGGTGAAGGTGGGTGGTCGCTACGCCCCCAAGGACTGCGTCTCTCCTCACAAGGTGGCCATCATCATCCCCTTCCGCAACCGGCAGGAACACCTCAGGTACTGGCTGCATTACCTGCACCCGATCCTGCAGCGTCAGCAGCTGGACTACGGCATCTACGTGATCAATCAGGTGAGGTCCGGGAAGGGGGGCCAGGGAGGAAGTGTGTGTGTGTGTGTGTGTGTGTGTGTGTGCACTGCAAATATGAGAGGGAAGAGATGGGCCAGCAAAGGAAGTAGTTTCCCTAGTGTCTGAATTTTATAACCCTATCACTACCACCCTTTTTATTTTAATTAGTGTAAATAGGCTAAACGCCAAACAGCGAGAGCGTGATTGCTTGTTGCTGTAACTCTTTAGGCAAGGGAAATGGGCTGGGATGCTTTGTTTGTGTGTTTTGTTTTCTTTGGAAGTACCCTTCCAACAAAACCGAGAGAAAAATAACAACTCTTATTCTCTCCAAATAAAGCAATGACTATTTTCTGTCTCCGGGTAGCTGTGTGTTTTCCTTTTTTAAAAAAATATAGAAATTCCCATTTGGAGCCAGACATTTAGTTAATGTCAGATTTATCTGGTTTTACTGCTGTTTCTGAGGTACAGAAGACAGTGCTCTTCATTCAGGCCTGAGTGCCAGGCCCCAGCAAAAGTTTGGGGAAGTTTTATTTGTGGGCCCCTGAAGGTCATGTGGCCTGAACTGAGTCTGAGAGAAGAGAGCTTCTCTCTGTGTCTCTGATCCATGTGTGTACTGGATTAAAGAAGCTGTTGGTGGCCTGTCAGCCTTCAGCACCATGCCCTGGAGAAATCTGATTGATCTGTGAGGCAGTATTGTTTTTTTTTAAAAAATATTTTTATTGATTTCAGAAAGGGAAAGAAAGAGATAGAAACATTAATGATGAGAGCAAATCATGGATCGCTGCCTCCTCCACACCCCTCACTGGGGAGTGAGCCCAGAACCTGGGCATGTGCCCTGACTGAGAATCGAACTGTGACTTCCTGGTTCATAGGTCGACGCTCAACCACTGAGCCAGATAAGAACACGGACTGAGCAAGAACACAGACATGTTAAAGGAAGAAGGAAGGATAGAAATATAGTTTATTTTGAATACTTACATTCACCTCTTTAGACTATAATCTTCTAGGTGCAATAATACATCCAACTTATCTGTATACCAAATTTCACTGACATGCATCTGAAGAGACAGAGTGTGCCTATTTCTAAAAGGCTGAATGTCCATTTCAAGATAAATTCCGAATCTGCTTGAGGTAGTAAGGTTGTTGGTAGTTGACAGCTTCTATCAAAGTTGAGGGTCTTTGCGTGGCTCCCCTTGGACCAGAAGGGAAGCTGAAAACAGCAGTGTGTCCATCATGCCTTTCGGAGGCCCCCTGTGCATAGTCCTGCACCAGTTGCTGCAGAGAGATTCTGAAGACGTGTGAGGCCCTCTGTCTACCTGTCCCAGTTCCCCATTCCCCCTTCTGGCAAGTGGGCCCTTCCAGAAAACAATCCGTTAACAATCCCAAATAGCACGTGAATGGATGGTGGCTCCCAAATGCTCTGGAAGCTCAGGAAGAGGAGCAATGGCCTGGGAGAACCAGGATAAAAACTGGGTTCTAAAGGCTGGAGGGAGACATGGTCATCTTCGGTGGGGCCAGAGAATGGGGACTTTAAGGGAGAAAGCAGCCTTGCGTGTTCCTGGAGAGCGAGATGACCATTGGGTAGGAAGGCAGCAGAGGTTCCGTGTTGGAGCTGAGTCTGCCAGACAGGAAAGAGCAGATATTTGCTTTTCAAGGGAATTGAAGCTCAAGATTGGGAGAGCAGATTGTGGGCAAACTCTTCGGGGCTCTTTGAGTTTCTTGGCCAAGTGAGGCACGGACCAGGGCCCTGAGAAAAATCTACCAGTGAGATAGCTGTGGGTCCGTTACCTTGGAAGAATGTTGGAGAATATAAGAGAGAGCAAGTAAATGCCAGGCCACTTCAATCCAACAAGTGTTTGTTTAAGAAACAAATGTGAGAGGAACATCAATCAGCTGCCTCCTGCACCCATCCCTACCGGGGATTGAATCCTCAACCTGGGCATATGCCCTGACCGGGAATCGAACCAGCAACTTTTCAGTGCACAGGAAGATGCTCAACCCACTGAGCCACACTGACCAGAGAAGCCTCTATATCTTTTCCTTCTCTTTCAAGGGTTAATTTTCCTCTCTATCTCCCTCTCCCTCTCCCTCCTCTCAATTGTTTTCTTCTGCTCCAACTCCACTCTGGTTATTTCTTTGGAAAAATGTAATTTGATTTTGAGATAACCAAGTCTAAGGAGAAACTTAATTTTGCCCTATCTTTCTAGTAGAAGGAAAGAGAGAGACAGACAGACAGATAGACATAGAATAGACATCTTTGGTTGCCTCCCATATGCACCCTAACTGGGAATCTAACCTGCAACCTTTTGGTGTACTGGATGACACTACAAAGAACGGAACCACACCAATCGGGAGAAACCTAAGCTTTTGAAAGAAAGAGGCTAAGGAGAAACACTGCATCATGCCCCCTCTTCCCCGAGTTTAACTTAGCAACTTCTTGTGTTCTCTGCTTTGTAGCTGTTTTAGAGGCAGAAAGGGGTTCAGAAGGGCGATTATAGCATCAGGCTTCAATCTTCATTGAGCAAACAGGCATCATTTGAGACTCTCAGTGACTTCCTGGCTCAGACGCCCCATTGTCATTTTGACCGTTTATCCCCAACCCCAATTAAGATTAGAGAGAAAGAAAAAATTCAGAAAAAAAGATACAGAAAAATTAAAAAACACCCAAAAGATTAGAGAGAAAGAAGGCTTAACATAGGAGGGGGTTCTGAGACATCTAGTCCAGTGGTTCTTAAGTTTTTAAGAATAGAACCTAAAAAAAAAAAAAATAGAACCTTTACCCCCCTAACTTCCCCTTCAGTCTTTGCTGGGATTTGCCTGAACCTCTGAGACCAGATAGTTCGACAGTGTCTGCTCTGTTTCACAGGTAAAGCAACAGAGGCTCAGAGAAGGGAAGTAGAGTCACATAAATCACATAAGCTGTAGCTCAAGCTCCTGTCCCTGATTCTTGGTGCCCTCTCACTGCACGGGGAGAACTCTGTCCTCAAGGCCATTCAGTCCCTCCCTAACGAGTTTCTTCTCAAAGCTGGTCTCCAGGGCTGGGGGTGAGCTCAGACTGCCTGGATTCTGGCTCTGCTGCCACTAACCAGCTGTTGCCCTTCGGCATGAGTTCTTAAAAAAAAATTTTTTTTTAAACATTTTTATTGATTTCAGAGAGGAAGGGAGAGGGAGGGAGAGATAGAAACATCAATGATGAGAGAGAATCACTGACTGGCTGCCTCCTGCATGCTCCTACTGGGGTTTGAGCCCACACAAACCAGGCATATGCCCTTGACTGGAATCAAATCCCGGACACTTCAGTCCTCAGGCCAATGCTCTATCCAATGAGCCAACCCGGCCAGGGTGAGTTCTTCCATTTGCGATCAGCTGAGTTCCTCCATCTCCTCGTTGGTGGGAGGGCAGGGTTTTAGTACTTCCCACAGAGGGCTGTGAGCACCTGACACCTGGTGAGCCCTCAGGAACACCGGTTATTACTGCGATGACTGGAGTTTCTCCTCCTCACCCTCCTTCTTCCTGCCTGTTGTCTCTCTAATCAGGCCCGAGGTGATAAACTCTTTACTGTTCTCCCTCTTCCTGCTTCACCCCCCTCAGTCACTGAGGACCAGCTTCGGGGACTCTCCCTCTCATGTGTGTGGCTTCCCGGGAGTCAGAGGAGAGCAGATAGCACATAAAGCCCAGAACCTCAGGGGATGCAGGGACCATGTCAGCCTGCCAGCTCCTTCAAAACAGAGTTGTGTCTCAAGTTCCACACACAAGGGGGTGAGCTTTCACAGGCTTTTGTGGCTCCTGCCCCTGTCCACATTAGGCTCTTACGCACCCCATTTTGGTTTGGGCCCTTCCAGGCACCATGAGGACCTACCGTACGTCTCACAATACGGGGAGGGGAGCTTACCAGTCGACACCGAGAACAAGCATTGCCGTTTGCTCTCGGGTCTTCTGCCCGAGCACACCAGTGTCTGAGACCCGCGTTAGGGTTCTGGCACGGCCAGCCTGTTGGAACTAAGGGTGCTGCTTGGAGGCACAGAAGTCCTCCCCAAGGTCCAGCACTGGACCCGTGGGGCCGAGGGGACACCGGGTGTCAAAGTGGGTGGGGGGCGGGGTGCACACTGCACTTCCTCATACTGTAAGGAAGCTAAAGCCACCCAAGGTAAAGGGAAGACAGGTTGCCACCTGGCACCACCGGCCCTGAATAAATACAGGATGTGTGTGGGATCACCCGGCACAGGAGTAAGTTTCCACAGGCCCACCCACCTGGCCAGGCGGATTGGTAATCGCTGTGGCAGCCCTCTGCCCTGGAGCCAGCATCCACTTCCGTTTGTATATCCCCTGGTATCTCTGATCTCTCTGGTTCTACCATGCCCCGCCCTTTCTCTAAACATTTCAGTGTGCCCCTGCTGCCGCAGGCGAGGGTCTGCGGGGTCTGAAGCCCGAGGTCAGCATCCAGGACCCTCTGCAGTCCAGCCCTGCCCCGCCTCAGCCACCTCCTCCTCCTCAGGATCCATTCACCCCATTGTGCCACAGCCATCCTGGATTCTCCGTCTTCACCCAGACACACTCTGCTCCCACGGGGGCCTTTGCTTAGCTTTCCCCCTGCCCTGCTTGCCTGCCTTTCCCTCCCCGACCTGCTCTCTTTTTGGCCACCATTTGAGTTACCTCCTGCCCCCAGCCCCCCCCCCCAACACACACACACACACACACACACACACACACACAACAAAAACACAAAAAACTTTATTAGCTCTTTGAAGCCCCAGGTGGGGCTAACCTCTCCCTCCCTGCTGCTCCCAGGCCACTTAGCACATCCTAGCGAGGAAGGAGGGGTGATTGCTGTGAGGGAGGAGGGGTGATTGCTGTGAGGGAGGAGGGGTGATTGATTGCTGTGAGTATGAGGGGTGATTGCTGTGAGGGAGGAGGGGTGATTGCTGTGAGGGATGAGGGATGATTGATTGCTGTGAGGGAGGAGGGGTGAATGCTGTGAGGGAGGAGGGGTGATTGCTGTGAGG